AAATTACCATAGCTTATTTAAATATGTTAATGTTATTGAGCGCAATGCGGAAGAGATTGATGTTGTAGTACGATATTTTGGCTTGGATTTTGATGCGAAAACGGCATGATTTTTTTTAAATAAAAAAATTAGTTGTTTTTAAAAAATAAACTGGTCATCTGAAGAATAATTTAACATTGTTTACAGTGATAACAGCTCATTCTCGAAAGGAAGCTTACTCGCTCACGCTAGTCACGATAAAAATCATACACGTGTACTCTTGAATAGACAGACGTCAATGACTACGGTAAAACTTACTCTATTTTATATTTTAGCCGGCAGGATTGATTGAAATGTCCGAAAAATGACGCCAAAATACACCTTAAAAGTCCCATTTTATTTTCTTAAATCCCATTTTATTTTTTAATCCAAGGGCGAATTTACGGCAGAATTTGATTCTAACCGGATACATTGCACTGGGTCGGGGAGATAGTTTGCTAAACTTCCATGTATCTTTTGTCCAATGGGTACCTGTACTTCGAACATTCGCAAGTTTTCCTAGGTAGTGCGAGACAGCTTTGTCTTTTGACCTATTAGTTTTGTGCTGACCTCTTCTCCGCGTCTTGATGTTTTGTTTTGCTTGTCATAATACTCACTGATTGATGACTTTGTTTAGATTTTGAGTTACAACTCGGCCACGACCTTTGCTTTTACCGTGAAACATGAGGAAGTTTACGTCAAGTGAGTTTTTACGGTACTTTAGATATCAGTGTGAAAGCTTAAAATTGGTTAATTATGCAAATTAGGTAATTAATATGTACAGATTGTAACCCACAATTATTCAGGTGTGTCTATTGTCCTACAGCATCCATGTACATTCATTGATATGTGATGTATAGTACCTGAGATATCAGTGTCACTGTGAAAGTTGGTTAATTATGCAAATTAGATGATTAATATGCACAAATATTTACCGGAAACTAATTGGGTCTGCATAATTCTAGATTCATTGAAATGTGATGATTAGTACTTTAGATATCAGTAGAAAAGCTGAAAATTAATTATGCAAATTAGGTAATTAATATGCACAATTATTTACCCGAAAACTAATCAGGTCTCTGCATAGTCCTAAAGGATCTATGTACCAAGTTTCATTGAAATGCGATGATTAGTACTTGAGATACCCATGGAAAAGCTGAAAATTAACTAATTATGCAAATTAGTTAATTAGGTGATTAATATGCATAAATATTTATCGAAAACAATCAATCTCTGTATAGTCCTTGAGTATGTAAGTACCAAGTTTCATTGAAATGTAATGCTAACTACTTATATCAAATGCTGAAAATTAATTAATTATGCAAATTAGGTAATTAATATGTACTGATATTACCATAAAAACTATCAGGTTTGTGCAGTGTCGTATGACATCTATGTACCAAGTTTCATTGAAATGTGATGATTAGTACTTGAGATATCAGTGGAAAAACCGAAAATTGACTAATCATTATGCAAATTAGGTAATTAGTAACCACGGATTATTACCAAAAACTAATCAAATCTGCGCATATGTTCAGAGCATCTATGTACCAAGTTTCATCAAAATCCAATGAGTGGTTCTTTAGATATGAGTGGAACAGTCATAGAACAGCTAAAAATTAGCTAATTATCATGCAAATTAGGTAATTAACGAGCATGGATTTTTACCAAAACCTAATCAAATCTGCGCATTGGCCCAGAGCATCTATGCACCAAGTTTCATCAAAAACCGATGTATGGTTCTTGAGATAGCAGTGGAACAGTCGGACACACATACACACATACACACATACACACATACAGACATACAGACACACTAACTGCAAAGACTCCCATTTTGTGCTTCGCACATGGGAGTCAAAAAGCTTTAAAAGTCGAGTTTGAATGAATGACTTGTGTACGATAAAGAATGCGTGTTTTAAACGATTTGTATGACAAAATATTAATATCCTGAGCATACAAAAATATGTTTTTAATACATTTGTGTGATTATCATAGTACATACCTTATACTCATCTGGAATCTGCATGTCAGCGAGATTATGTGGGATGGGATAAGGGGCACCAGTAACCTGGTTGTAGCGTCTTATACCACGTCTGTGTCTTATAGCCGGTAGTTGCGTTGATGCACTCTCAGAGATATTTTGAACTGCTTGAGAGATGATTTGTTGTGTATAGCTCTTTGCTTGAGATCCTGTCGTATCTCCAGTATTTCTTGACACCGTACATCAGCTGCATGGGTGTGCTCATTTATTTGACTAACAATGGCATCACCGCGAAGTTTTACCTTAGCTTTACAGTTGCTGTGTCTGCGTTTCTCGCACTCATAGGATACTACACCATTCGCTAGATCTTTCTGCTTCACAAATATATAACCTTCATAAACTAGCTTTCTTCTACCATGGTTGCTTTGCACATACTCCATAATAATAATAATAATAATAATAATACAAGGATAAAGGACAATGATGTTCGTAAGAATAGCTTGAGCAGTTGAAGCACTGAACTCAGACTGATCAAAATGTATCTTTCACTGCCTTTTCATGAACATTTTTCTTTGATATCACTGTCTTCACACCTTTTGATGAATTAAAACGCAAAAAAAATCGAGAAAATTGATATTTTACTATTTTACACTTCACACCTTTAGTCCAATCAGAATCTTGGAAAGGTGCCTATTAATGATATCACGTGGGCTGTCACTGAGAACTTAATTATTTTATTTTTTTAATTCATGCTTTTAAAAAAAGGGTTGACATGACTTGACATAGAATTTCCATAGAAATTAATAAGCGTATTTTGATCATATTAAACTCACTTTTCACATGCACACTATCAAACATTAACCGGAATAAAAAAAAATGTAGATTAACAGTCTTCACTATTCATGACATCTTAATCACACAACTTTGATAAAATGCTGGATCGACGGTACGCAGTTTCCAAAGTTAAGAAATATCATTAAGCCCGGGTTCTACAAATATTCACAGCTATAATTACTGTAACAATGGGATCATATAACACCGTGATCTCGTTGTCAACTTATCATAAATTCACGCAAACAAGTGTTTGTTGACGACACCTAGTTGTCAACTTAATAATTCATCTGTTTGTCAACTTGTTGTAAATTCCCGTGAACAAGTGTTTGACGACGACACCTCGTTATCAGCTTATTAATTCATCAACTTATTATGAACTCACGTAAACAACTGTTTGCCGACGACACCTCATTATCAACTTATTAATTCATCAACTTAATATAAATTCACGTAAATAAGTGTTTGCCAACGACACCTCATTATCAACTTATTATAAAAATTCACATAAATAAGTGTTTGCCGACGACACCTCATTATCAACTTATTAATTCATCAACTTATTATAAATTCACGTAAATAAGTGTTTGCCGACGACACCTCATTATCAACTTATTAGTTCATCAACATATTATAAATTCACGTAAACATGTGTTTGCCGACGGCCGGTACCGTAATAGTCAAAATCACTGCAAGAAATAACAAATAATAATTGTGTGGGAGGCATTTGTCCTACGGGGGTGTTTGTCCGGGGGACAATTGCCCAGCCACTCCATCAACACTAGACAATCCAGTATCACTGATATTTACATACCTTCCATAACTGATGCAGTCTGCTCTAACGTCATATTAGCAAAAGGTGCAGGTCCAACAGCAGCTGGCTCATCACTTTGACTCCATTTCTTACGATCTGGTGGTATCTAGAAATGACATAGTGTGTAAATTATTGGCAATTAATATTGGCAAATTAGGTAATTAACAAGAACAGATTACAACCAAAATCTAATTTGTTTTGTAAATTGTCCAAGAGTAATCTGATCTGAAATCTGACAATGTGAACCATAAGACAGTTGCATGTATTAAGACAATTGATGGACAGATATATGAATTATAAACAGGACTAAGTAGCAACACTTTGTATAATATAAATTTGGTACAAGTGGGGTAGTCCTCAATTGTCTTGTACACAGTATGCAAGTACAATTATAGATACTTTATAGATGTTGCTGTGCTGCAATGATGAATGTGCTTTTATTTGAGATGAGCTTTTAATAGAGCAAATATGGTAGTACCTTCTCATTCAATTTCTTAAGAATTTCATCTTTTCGTTGTTGCACTGGAGATCTGAAATAAAACACAAGAAATGTTGCAATGCATTTACAATGTACGTTTATACTTACAAAGTGACATCATCTCAATATAGTATAAATGTATGTACGCGGGGTACTACTGCTATATGCACATAAACTCATCCAAAAATCAACAAAGTTATTTTTTAGTTCAAGACCATTTTTATTCATCTACATGAAGAAAAATATATCTCTGCAGTTTAAGCTATAACACCATGAAAGCCAAATATGAAAGTAAACAGTAGGAGTATAGAGAACCCTGTAGTCAAGGTGATGAGTTACTGTAAAATGACTAATTTTCACTGGGTTTAAATTTCACTGATTTACCTTTTCAGGCATATTCAGTGGGTTTTAAATTCACGGTTTCGTCATTTAGATAATGTGTTCTATGCTAAATTTTACATATTCACTGTGTTTTAATTTAGCGCATTTTTCCAGTCAGCGAAATAAGCTAAATTAAAACCCAGTGAATAATTACCCCCTTTACAGTACAATGAAGTCATGTGACATTCAATGAAACTGTTTTTTTTTTTCATGGTATCATGCCAAGACATACTGATTCAATAAGATCTATGATAAATAACTGACAAGAAAACCTACCAATATTCTAAATCACTGTTTGCAGATTCTTATACATTTGAGCTATGCATTTCATATATTATTTGTTGTATTTGAATGCCTTTCTTCGGTTCACACCAACTGTTATTAAATATGATTGAACAGAGCTAAATATAGATGTTAAATTGACTCACTTTGTTTCATTGCCTCGTTGCGGTACTTCACTTGGCTGTGCTGGTTTCTGTAAATAAATAAATAAGAATCTATATTTATTTAAGTGCATTTCCAATAAAATCATACATAAATTAAAAATAGAAATTCAATTCTGGATCAATAAATATGACTTATTTGACTATGGACACACTGCTGTGATTTATGTAAGCAGATGCACTGTTATTAAGGGCTAAAACAGTAAGTGTATAGATCTTACCTCATCAGCAACCCCTGGTAGTTGAATTCCAGCTTCTTTGAATGCTGCAGTCATTGGCACAACTGAAAGATAAAACAATCATACCAAGCTATATATGTCATATGTTTATATAGAATCCCACCATATTTCCTCCTTTATTGACGTCAGCAGGCATGGCAGATATTATTACAAAACACTGGGGGGGGGGGGGGGTCGTAATCAGAATGAGATTATATTATGGGATTAGTATTTATGCACAATTTCACAGTCCAAAAAAGTGGTACCATCGCTGCTATAACACAAAATATGTACCAGCTTGCCAAACTACTAAAATCTGTAGTTATTGGACTGTATATTATGCAGGTGTTAATTCATATTATTGCTTGATAAAAAGAAAGAAAGAAAGACCTCTTGTGTGCTAAGGGCATTGGAGGCATGAAGTACAATTAAGAATTATTTGAAATTAATAGACCTCATTGTCAAATAGTCGCCAAAATCTTGTTGAGAGTGAGAAGGTCACCGATTTGTTTTTGCCCAAAATAGTGTTCCATTCTCAAACGTTTTTGCTTCCACTGTTAAGCTGACTGTTAGTAACCATGGGAATTGGAACACTGGCCACAGAAAATGGAACACTATTTGGGCGGCAAAACAAGTTGGTGACTCTCTCACTTTCAACAAGATTTCTGCGGCTACTTGAGAATAACTTCTATTACAGATTTAGGATTCTGTAATTTATTCTAGTGCACCTATGTACCAATCGAATTTAATTTAAACCTAAGTGGTAAATTAGATATCAGAAAATATTTAATACACATGAATTTCAACTTAGAGTAAGCTGGTCTGTGAATAATCCAAAATCACCTGTGTACCAAGTTTCATTTAAATTTGAGTGGTACTGGAGATATCTGTGAAACAGCTACATTCAATTGGTTAATTTATGCAATTAAGTAGCCCTAAGCTGAACACTTATATGCAATGTTTAACATCATCCTGAATAGAATTTATATTTTAACTGAAAATGACCTGTACGTCAGGCTGTCATGTTTTGAAACTAGTCAGCTCTACAGTCATGTTCTAGGCCAAGGGACTTGAGGGGTCTACTTAATCTTAAACACTGCCTACATCCTGGGGCACATATGTACCTAGTTGAGTTATGTGGATTCTTCAGGAGCACATACATGTATGTATGAAGTTTTCTTGAAATCTGTTGGGTTGATGATTTATTGAAATCTGTTGGGCTGTTTTATGGGAATCTGTTGAGTTGTTGTTTTATTGAAATCTGTTGGGTTGATGATTTATTGAAATCTGTTGGGCTGTTTTATGGGAATCTGTT